CCCTACATAGACAGCAGTGTTCAGGGTGTGAAAATAATTTCCACTCTTTTATCCATTCATCTTAATGTAAGTTGGAACCTACTTTTTTGTTAAAAGCCAAGCCTTGTAGCTGCAGGCATAACACAGAAAACTGTAATCACAGTCAGAGGGAAAGGATGCTAACCAAACATCCAGGTACATCTAAACACACACATCACAAAATTCAAGCCACTTAAAACTAGTCAATGGCTCCACTGGTTCAAAAAATATGTTTGTCTCTGTAATGGGTTTTGAAAACCAAAACAATCCTCAGAAGTTTAGTCCCTAGAGCTCTCTGACATAATAAACTCAAGAAATAAATCTTCAGCTACTTTCTGTCCTTTTAGATATGTGGTACACTTACATTTCCATTTATTTTCTTTTGAAATGTGTATTCATTGTCTTCTTTTCAAGTTGCCTAGGTTCAGAGTAGATATTGTAAGGTAATTACGACTGCATGAGTTTCACAATATTTGAAAAATAATTTCTGAATCAGTTCCATCTGTGCTAGAAATCTAAGATTCAGTTACACTATTCTAGCACTAAGTGATATAATCAGGTTCAGTTAATTATAAATATAGACTCACTTAATAACTAACTGTGTGGAGAAAAGCTGTTTGAAGAGTGTGTCTTCCCTGTTGCAAACTGTTAAACAGACACATAGTGAAACCAAATAGAGGAATAACATGCTAAATGAATACAGCTGGTAGAAGAATAAACACTGCCCATCAGAGTAAGAAAACACAATATTGTGTATATTACTGGCATAACCATTGTAAGCTATGACTGGATTTTCCCCCCCTCACTAGTCACATGGGAATAGAATCTTCTCGTGCCATCAGTGACTTCATGGGGCAGAAGATGAAATAGTTTTGATGAAATGCACTTCAGAAGTGACTCATGTCCCAGGAGACAGGAGGGTGGATGCATCACATCATTTGCACAGGCAGATATATTAGCAAGTCTTTGCAGGGATTCAAATACAACAGTTAGAGAAGTGAGAAAAGCTGTATCTACCTCTAGAACCCTATGTGAAGGCTGGAAAAGACCATAAAAGTGACCTGTTCTGCATCTTTGTATAAAGGTGTGATCAGGCATATTTAAGCCATTCACTAGTGACTGCTCGTTGAACAGAGTTCTGGAAATCTCTGCCACAGGAGATTCAACAGTAACCCTCAGTGCTTGTTCCCGTTTTGGCATTTTGAAAGCCCTTCTTTAGTGCCTACCTAAATAATCTGTGCTGCAAATTAAGGTGATTCCTTATTGTCTGCCCTCTTCCAGTGATCATGGAGGGCAGTTGATTATCATTCTGCAGATATGATTGGAAGGGTCTTACCCTGTCCTTCCTTAGTTTTGGGGTTTTTTTTTACTAACCAGGGAAGTGTGAAACTTCAGGTGGTCAAAATTTAAAATTCCAATCCCAGGTCATACAAATCTGGAGTAAAGATGATGATGCTATTTTGCTCCACCTTTCTGTTCTTTAATAATTACATCCTAGCACATTCTCAAATACAAAATGAAAATCCACTCCTAGAAGAATCAGGTTCCTGGATCCTCTTCCATTTTATCTATCACTTACCAATAATGATGGTGAAGGGAGAGTTCACATAGGTAGACATCTCAGGATTTGGTTTACATAGGTAGCATGAGGGAGCTTATGTAAGTGTATAACTTTGAGTCTTACAATATGATACTCTCCTTCCCTTCATGCAGAAGGAAAAGGTGGTGGTGAACATCAAGTATACATTTCATATCAGCCAAACTACCTTGCAACAAAAATCTTTGTCATCCTGCAATTTCTGTGCAGAGCCTGGGAAGGTACTCTGCTTTCAGCCACATGGTGACTAACTCAAGATGAGGAGAAGGGATGTTAGAAACCAATACTGCATGTCCAGAAATAATCTGATTCATTCCACTGACAGCACCTAATTTTTAATAAACACATGAGCAAAAAAAGTCTCAAGAGACACAGTTTAATATGGCTAGTGTGGGTGATACCACAGCATGAAGGCAGAGCAGCTTCACATTTCTTGGGCTGCTGTCAAGTAGTTAAATAAAATCCTGGAAAAACACAGAAAGGTTTTAAGAGGAGGAGTTTCAGTTTCTTGAGAGTTCAGAGTCCTCCTACAATCTATTTATTTTTCTGTAGCTAACAAAAACAAAAGTGTAGAAAACAACTGTAATTGTTTGCCATTGGATAAGCCCAAAAACTGAGATCATTCTGCACTTAGGTCTTGGAAAAGACATAGTTGTGCTAACTTGTAAGTCTGTTCTTACTCTTGAAATAAATCTGTTCCATTTGTAATACTTCTAACACTGCTAGACTCCTACTCTGTGAAGGCTAAATCATGGAGAAAATTAAAGCAAATTTCTCTACACTTTTGAATGAGCAATTTCCAACATCATTTTGGAGGGACTAGATGATCTGTGAGTACTAGATGATCTGTCAATGATGAATTTATCTGTGGATCTCTCATTTATGTCATGACAACCTATTCAGCTTCTGGCTTCTCCACTGAGGCTGCCAATAAGCAATGCAGCTCTTGAGAAGTCATGTCACAGATACCAGTGTTGGTCAAAAGAATTGATACAAGAAAACTGCAAATTCTAAAACCAACCTACAAATGTTACATCTTTTCTCATAACTTGGAACCCTAGATGGTTTCATGCATATTCTTTCTGGTCCTAAGACACTTGTGAAAATACTGAGTACAGCAAGTTGCAAAGTAGGCATCCATGGGATCCAATTGAAATGTCCTTTGACTTCTTAATTTGTCAGCAAACCAGTAGTATCCACCTTAGCACAATTTATCTAGATCACACTTCCCTTTTTAACCACAGAGAATGTCATATCAGACAGAATACAATCTTTAAGAACCAAAGATGGGTGATGTAAGCAGTAGGCAAGAAACTTCTGGACAAACGTATCTTGACTTTGGGGTTTGTTGCTACTGACAGTGAAGTTTTCTTGTTTTCTATTTCCTTTCCTTAAAAAAACCCCACAAACAAACCATAAAACAAACAAACAACAACAACAACAAAAAACACAAACAAGAAAACAAAACAAAAAAAGAGGCACAGAAGTGTCATACCCAACTTAAATAGCTTCTTATGATAGCTAAGGGCAAAACTCTCCTTTCTGAACTTCATGGCTTATATTACTCAAACTCTAATAAGTAGCTCCTTTGTCCTCTCTTATTGAGATTGTTTTTTTTTCCACAGAAACTACAGAGAAGCATTTTCTTTTAAACAGAGGACATTAATATGCCATTAAAAGGAAAGCAACCACCAGGACCTGGCCACCTGAATACATCCAGTCTTCTACCACTGGATGTGATGGAAACTTATCATGTTCTATTTGTTGCAGGATATATAAAGTTATATGTTGCTCTGCAGTAAAATATTTCTCTATTAAGCTCCAGGAAGCTTAGTAAGAGCTGTCAGGTTTAGGATCTGCTTTGATGACACATTTTAGATGAGCCCAGGAGTGCTTCCAGAACAAAGTTTAGAAAGCAGAAAGTGCACATTGACAGAACACAGAATTGAGAACAAAGTTCTTTCTGTTTGCCAAACATTTCACAATTATCTTTCGAGTCCATGAGAAGAAAGTGTGGACAGAGAAACATAAATGTGGATTAATATGTTTTTGTACAAAGCATTAGGGCTTTTTTACTTGTTAATTATTGGTACCTACACTGCCAGGAAATTCTTACAAGTTGCCTCGGATGTTTCTTTTACTTCTTCATCCTGTTTACAGAGAAAAACTAGACTCCCTGTGGGTCTGATCCTTCACAATGAACCAAATGGAAAGGTTTCCACTTACTTCAAAGAGAGCAGTATCTGGTGCTAAGATTCCTTGTTTGGCATAATAGAGGTTACATAAGGTAAAACTTGTTTTTCTACAGCAGTTTTCTAGGTGACTTGGCTGTTGTATCCCTTGCAAATATTACCTCCTCTTCAAATACCTTGTGCAGTTCTACTGATAATCCCAGCTGGGTTTTCATATTATCTGATCCAAGCCGTGCCAGTCTGTATGATGTCCAGCATGCAGAGATGCAGGAGGTGCTCACTGTTGTACTTGGCAACTCAAAGAGTAGGGGTTTTTTTAAGCAAAATCACCCTGTGTGCACCAACTATCTGAGTACCATCAGGAATGTTAAAAAACCCCAAACAAACAACAAAACAACTTCTGGATCACGTCAGAATAAATTCTAGAAATAGATCCCTGTGCTGGTTTTTTTTTTCCAAAAAATAAAACTGAATATGGATTTCAACCTCTGCCCATAACGATCTGAAAACATGGAAGATCATATAAATTACAGAGGAAAAGGTAGTAATTAATTACATTAACTAAATGAAAAGGAAGGGGTGTTGCTGACACCTTTGCTTCTCACAGAGGATCAAAGCATTTCATAGAAATCCTTGTGGAAACATGAACATGCAGGTGGACGAGAAAGTTTCAGATGTTTATGTTCAGAG